CAAGGGCAAGGTAGATAACAGGTACTGAAAAAGCTGTTTATTGGTTGATTTCGTTCAAGTAAAATATTAAGACAAGCTGTGTACATAAAACAGAAAAGTTTGGTCCCTTAAAGCACATGAAGTTTTACCCAAACATGCACGCACACAGACAAAGACACACACACCCACCCACACACGCACGCACACACACTGACTAAAAGTCACCCCTACCCAGTGCATTATTTACAGTGAAAACATTGAGGATATCCTCGCCAGGGGCCTTGATAATCCAATCAGAAAAGGGTGCATTAACTAAAGTCGAGTAAAAAGGCATTCATCCTACGGCCCAGTCAAAAGATCGGTGATCAAATTTCTAGCGAGAAATCTTGCAGGTTTTCAATTGGATGAAAGGACGGTGCTTCGAAATGGCTGATGCATGTCTGTTATGTCCTTAATCTCCACCCCCTCTATAGCATGCAACCAGTCAGAGCTGATCTACCCAATCAGAGCAGCACACTCCATGTGCACCAGGTGTGTCAATTTAAAGTTAGGATTATCTTTTTTTTTTGGTAGGGGGGGCTTATCTGATACTCATCTGCAAACAGGTCTGTGAGGGCTTCTGTTCTAGGGAAAACAAGGGAGGTAAAACATTGATAGCCATCATTCATCCATACACACTTTTTTCAGTACAGAGTCACCAGGAGCTTGCAACCAATACCAGGAAGCACAAAGCACGGGACATCCTCCATGGATTCCCAGTCTGCCACAGCACATTTACAGTCACACTTCATGGGCAATTTAGAGACATCAATTAGCAAAACTGCTTGTTTTTGTACTAGGGGACAGCATGCAAACTCCATACACCTGGGCTTAGGGATCAAACCCACAACCCTAGCTATGTAAGGCTACAATGCCAACGTTGCACTGCATCACCTCACTGGAGAATAATCGACTAAGAAAAAAAAAACATCATTTTACTTAGATATTTTACTTAGACTGCTCCCATCTGGCTACATGAGAAACAGCCCATTTAGAAGTTAATTTTAGACAGACTGCCAATTTGAGGAATATCTGAAGTCTTGTAATGTTATGCGTTCTAAGTCTTGTACCCAACACAAATTCACGGTTTAAATCCAAAGTGTCACAAACTGAGTTTCCACCACTGCGTTAAAACTCCATGGCAACCACTGTATTTTTTCTGCACAAACACTCAATCTATTTAAATCAACCAGATGGCAGAGATTTAAAAACATGGCTCTTCCAGGAAATGCAGGACTAGGCCGTGCAGTACCAGTAGGTAATCGGCACCTGAGGTCCAACTTCCACCAAGCCAAAGTCAGCTGGGTTTGCTGCATAGTGTCGATGGTTCCCTTTGGGTCCTGGATGGCGAAGGCAAGGTCACAGCCCCTGACCCCAACTCCGTCTTCTGCTCAGTTACAGCCTAAACCCCATTGATTGGCGGAGAGCGATGCGGAACATACCACTGTGTGTCAGCGATTGGCTGAGGGCCCTCCACGTGCTGGACAGACAGAACATACGAACAAGCCCCCTTTGATGTGAAGGTTATATTTCAGAATCAGCAACTTTTTTTTCTGGAAATAGGTCATATAAAAATCAAAGAAAATGGAAAAAAAGGAAAATCCTGTAACTACATGTCAATAACTACACCCAGTCTCTGGTCCAGGATCACCATGGTGATGGCAGGCTCCCAGTTTCCCATGACCACGCAAGACCTCCCTCCCTTCGGAGGAGCGGGTCTGCATCGCCAAGCTGCAGCTGCCTGGAAGCCACTAACTCATTAATATGAAAAACGTTAACTGACAAGAATGACAAGAATTACGTCCTCTTCAGATGTCACATGGTTTCTGGAAACCAACATCATGTGACCCACCATCTTTATTTCCCAGCAGCTCATGGCCGGTGCTGGTCTCTACAGTCAGGCCGTATTCTACAAACGCTCATTGACTTCATGTATGTGTAGCGACAGGGACCCCGTTCAGTGTTCGCTGGGTAACTGTGTCCATGGACTGTACACAGAATGGAGCAGCAGACGACCGGCTGATGGACACCGCTTAGGGCCAAATACACGGAGGGGAAGGGGCGGAGCCTGCAGCAACTGTGGGTCTGGAGTGAGCGTGATGTCAGGGTGAGGCGGGTGAGGGGCGTCACACGGCCTAATTCCTCTCCTGCACAAAGACAGTCTCTTGTGGACACAGCCCCGCCTCCTGCAGCGTGATGTCATAGTCCAAGTGAGACAGTTTCCGTCGTGGGAAGTTGGTGACGAGCTCGAAGCGTTCGTTTGGATAACCTTTAGACTGGATATGTCTCACCAGCGCCTAGAAGAAAAGCAACAGGCAGTTAACCCACGTCAGAGGCCCGAAGGTGCCGGTGTCGAAGGAAAAGAAACGCCCAGCGGACATACCATGAGCGTGGCCTGAGCGGACAGGGCGATCTGCTCCCGTTGCCCATCCGGGTAGCGCAGCATTAGCTGAGCCTTCGGACCTGCGGGTGGAACACAGCCAGTCAGAGCAGGGATCAACAGGCTGAGTCCGACCTGCGGAAGCTCCTGGATGCAAGCCTTTCGGATGCACAATGCTAATGCTAATGGCTAATGTGGCATATGGAGCTGAAGAGAGTGTGTGTGTGTGTGTGTGTGTGTGTGTGTGTGTGTGTGTGTGTGTGTGTGGGGTGCAGGTTCACGTCCCAGGGTGGGTATCTCGGCTACTTTCATTGTTCTCCACCTCCTGTGACTGAGTATTTCATTCTAAAATGTCCAAAATGTCCGAAACCCCTCCTAGCAGCCCATACCGCTGTCGCTGGGTTGGCCCGCATTGCCATGCTCCTCAGCGCCGGGCTCGCACACCCTCGATCCCGAGTTCTGCCTCCGCGCCGTGCCGAGACCCTCTCTGCAGGGCTGTGACGTGACCGGCGTCTCCAGATGGTTCTTCTTGCTCTCCTCCTTCCTGTGGCTGGACTCTTTGTGTGGGGACTTCCGGTGGCGAGCGGGACTGTCCGGGCAGGGGGGTGGAGCCTGGGTGGGGACCTCTTCATCGGAGCCGTCCACGGAGATGAGCCCCTCGCTGTCTGAGAAGGGCTCTGCGTCCGAGTCTTCCTCAGAGCGCGAGTCCGGCCGAGTCTGCTGAGACTCATAGTGGGTCTCCTCCAGTGAGGCTCGAATGGCAGCTTCCAGCTGGCTGTCCTCGCTGGCGTCAATCAGACTCTCCTGGGGGGGGGGGGGGGGGGCAGGTACAGGTAAGCGGCACAGAAAAGCGTCAGGAAGGAAGAAGGCGGGAGAGGCAGGTCTGCTTACAGAGCGCGCGCGTTTGGCGGGAGGAGGGTGACTGGACAGGCCGTCGAGCTGCCCGTGCTCCGTCAGAAATCCCGTCACCTGCTCCAAGAAGGACGGCACATCTAGATGGTTCCACTCCACCATCTTCTGGCCTGGGATGAAAAGCAGGAGGCGTGAAGATGTCGGAGCTGACAGCCACCTGGGCTTAGTGGTCAGCAAGGAGTAAGTATCACCTGTGCGGGGGTCCAGGATGGAGATGTAAGGGAACTTGTTCAGCTTGTAGAACTGGATGTAGCGCTGGCCCTCCTCGCTGTCGTGGTATACCTGAACGCAAGCATCACACAAGTGGCGTAAACCTCTGGTCCTGGGGGGGGGGGGTTGTACGACATACATGGGGACAGTCCCATGCTGGTGCAGTACCTGCCAGAACACAAAATGCTCTCTGATGATGGTCTTGACGGCATCGTTGCTCCACACATCCCTGTTCAGACACTGACAAGCAAAATCCTGCACGTTCTGGATGTTGATCATCAGCCACTTGTTCTCCAGCTGTCCACAGTCCTTGGCCTACAGCGGAAGACAGAAGCTAAGAGACAGCCTCTATGTACAGCAGGGCAGTGTCTATCTACAGTTCTGTGCAGAAGTCCTAGCCCAGGGGTGGCCAATCTTATCGGCAAAGGGCCGGTGTGTATGCGGGTTTTTGGGATAACCTGTAGGTCAGCTGTTCAAACCCAGGTGTGAGGACTCTTCAGCCAATCAGTCCTCTAATTAGTAATCTAATTAGGGAGTTGCAGCGAAAACCCGCATACACACCGGCCCTTTGCGGATAAGATTGGCCACCCCTGTCCTAGGCAGTACTACCCAGATAAACGTTTTCTTTGACTGCCTAAGCCTTTTGCACAGTACTGTACATCTTATACGGAAAACATGAATTGTCAGTTATTGGTTTTTAAAATGCAATAACAAAAAACACAAATATTAACTTTTAAAAGCATTTTCTTATGCAAATGTTTTCAATAGGAGTTGAGAAGAGAGAGATAGGCTAGGCATGCATATGTAGTGTAGGTTAGCTCAATAATGGTAAACGGCGAGATCAGCCGACATAAAACAATTGGAATAAAAAAATAATTCTCAGTTGATCCTTGTTAAAATACACCACAAATGTATAACGAAAAATACAAATATTAAGTTTTAAAAGCATTTTCTTATGTACAAATAGCTGTACTACATGTACATGTTTTTGATAGGAGCTGAGGACTGGGTGTTGGGGCACCATCAGCGGGATGCCTAGGCTAACTTTGTTGGACTTGCGAGTTTAGGATTTGCGAACCTGCTCTTGGAAGGGAACTGGTTCATACCTTGGGGACTTCCTGTTTATGGTACGTTGTACAGTGCGCAGTATGTACTATATTCTGTATAACATGTATGGTGATTACTGTGTAGCACACACTATGCAGTATACAGCAACTCTGAGTAGGATCTCACCGTCTCAAAGCTGCCCTTGTGCATTAGCTCAATGGGGGGTCTAAACAGGTCTGCCAGGGTGCTGAGTTTCTTATCCACTGTGCTGCCATTCCTCAGCTCTTGCTCCTGTCGGACTGAAACCATTGCAAAGGGTCACAAAGCCATCAAATAGTGTCCACACGGAGCCCCACCCCATGACACGACACGAGGTCGGCAAACCCGCAAGCAGGTCTACAGCCTTACTGGTCTCTGTCTGGAAGTCTCTGAAACCGTCGAAGATGGATCTGGCTGGCCGTCGTCTTTTTGGCACTGCCGGAGACAAGAGCGAGCATACAGACAGCCTGGTGAGCCTTGGCCTTCCAGTGAAGACCGTCAGGACTTTGATGGCAAAAACCATACCTCCATACAATGGCTCTGGTTCCACCAGGATGTCTTGCTTCTGTGGTATAGGGGCTCGCACCTCCTCCCTGTGGAAAGAAAGTCATAAGCCCAAGACCAAAAAAAAAAAAAACCACCCATGGCAGACCCCATACATGACATAAGCTGTGCACAGCTAGCAGTTCAATACTCACTCTGTAGGGGGTGCTCTGCTGCTGGAGGCCCCTGCAGAGCTGGAGCTGGTGCTAGGCTCTTCAACCATACCCCCTCCATCCAGAAACATAGTGACAGCCATCTCCAGGTTATTGTCGCAAGCCTCTAGCATGTGTTTCCCAACACTCTCAGTCGCACCTGTGGATGTGCAACCGTCACACAGAGACTATGCGCGCACACTAACATTTCAACTAGGTACTAGCAGGTTAGCACAGCAAATAAAGGATAGCGTAAAAACGGGCCCAAAATACTTCGGATTCAACTTATTGCTCTGTTCAGAAATTAGACATTTTTTTAATGAAAACAAAGGAGACTTTTTTCCTCAACTGCCAAGATATACCTTGTTATTTCTTTCAGAAAAACGCACCGAAATCATCCATTGATTTTTCAATGGTTCGACCAAAAGTACTGGTCAATTTTACCCTCAATTTCTCCAGAGAATCCCACTAAACTGGATACCAAAATAAACCTTGAAAAACAAAGCTTTTCAGGAGATTTGCAGCAAAACCCCACAATCACCTGCGGAAACCTGCTGTAGAAATGAAACTGAGGTCCTCACTATCAGGTCAGGGTTACCACGTTAAATCTAACCTAATCCAAGATCCCATTTTCACACGTCTTTGTAACATCTTCAAATTATTTTCAAAATTATTATCACCGTCCTAAGGAACAATTTCTCAATGGGTCTTTGAAACGTCTAATGTATTTCTCCAAAAGAGAGCATATTATCTTCGTAAATATCACCGCCTATTCCTAAATTAGGAAACAGGGGCCCAGATTGGCAAAAGGGTCAATAATTAATAGGTTTCATGACGGTGGGAGTCACCGAAGCGGTTTAAAACGTGAAAGTTTATTACGCCTGGTTAATCAAAGCGCAACATATGAGCGCACACATTGCGCATGCGCGAAAGATGGCGACCCGTAAATTAATCAACAGGCGCTTCATGCAGTTCTGATAAACACACCAGTCGTGTACATTTCTAAAGTCGGCAATGCTTATGAGGGTTCGACACCTAAGAACTAGTAAAGGAACAAACACAGTAAGAGAGAAACAGCCAGTTCAATGGTCAATTGGCAGACCAAAATGATGTAAGGCACCACAACTACCCCAACATCCTCTCCTGCGCCCGATGCGTTTGTTTTAATTAAGCAACATCCCTGCTTCATAAGTTTATCTGGCGAGCAGCAAGTTTTGCCGGGCTGCCTGTTGACACTTCTACTACTGTGGCCACATCATCTGAAAAACGTGTTAGAGATGCCGGTGGAGCCAGCATTCGTACTGGGTTGTGCTGCTTGAAGCCCAGCTGTCCCGGGTTAGGAAGAGCCTGGCCAGCTCCGTTACAGGAAAAGCAGCCCAAGCCCGTGTCTATAATGTGCAAATAACACCAAGCGCTGTACCGGCCTGTCAAAAAGTAACTTTATGCACGACCCCATACAGCTTTCCTCCAATATTACTCCAATTTTGACCATTTTTCCTCGCTGAAATGGGCAATATGAGATGTCGGTGGCCACGCACGGCTGCCCATCTCTTCCTTTCGTTGTAGGCTTTTCTCCTGCTGACAGAGGGGGCAGTAGTTTCTAATGCCCCTTCAGTCCTGACTACGCAGTTTTCCCTACTTATTTCGCGGGCTCATTGTTTTGACAGCAATTTATATGAAGTAAAATTGAAATAAGTGTGAACAAAACGTGTTTACCCGTTATGGCTGTAAATTGCTGTATTAACCCGTTCAGCCCCAGAGCTGATGTATCCCCGATCGCCGCCATCTTACCGCCGCCGACAACAACACGGCTGTGCGCCTGCGCACCTAACTACGATAGCAGCGACATCATCCGTCATAGGATGCCTCGTAGGATTATGGGTGTTGTATTTCCTCCGCTGGACTGCTTTTTTCCCCCAAATTTTTTTAAACTTTAAAGACATAAGTGCTTAAGGGACCTGCCCCGTTTGCCGCTGGAAAAATTAGCAAACATCCATCTAGTTCTCTATAAATTTCTCCTTGTCTTTTTTTTGAGAAGGTGAAAAACACAGCGCCATCTACCGTTGAGACTTCCACAAGATTTACACTGGATCCTCTCTTCGCACATACATACAGCATGCAGTTTTTATCATCTCAACTAAATTTGCAAAGTAAACATTCAACATAAAAGGTAATCAAGCATATAACAACGACTTTCTGGCCTCAGTGTACAGATAGTTAATAGATGGTTTTGAGCAAAATACAACAAAATCAGGTAAAACATAATGATTTTTTACCCAATTTTATTTTATATTTTATGATACATTCAGTTTAAAACAGTCAACCAAGCACTTGAAAAACATTAAGCAAAAAAGCAAATGATTTCTGAAGACCCTCTTCACTATTTATGAAACACTAGCAGTGTGTGACTTGCCTCAGGGACAGAGCCCAGTGCTCTGAGCAATCTCCCTCGAAGCAGACTGATGTGGGCTGATGCGGGCCTCTGCCCCCTCCCTAGCACCCCCACAGCCTCAACCAGAGCACCAGAGAAATGCAACCATACCGGACAACATGCTAGTGCAAGACCAACCAACACAGCCTAAATGGAAACAAATGCAGTCTGCATGGAAGGAAATTGTTCTTGCACGTTTATTCTTTAAAAACACTGGAGATTTTTTTTTTTTTAAAAAAGGAAAACCTTACTGTGAAGGATTTGCCCTCCAAAATTATGGGACCTGTCAGAGATCCTGCAATAAACTTTGCTTGGTTAGTCAGATTCCCCTACAATTGAAAAGACAAGAAGGGGAGAATCTGTGTGCATGACAAGGGTTGCAGATGGTTGTAAGGAACAGGGGTCACAAGTTAAAGATTAGGGTGTGTCACATGCCTTAGTCTCGGACTGAGAACCACAAGGTGCTGCTCTTCTATTGCTGTTAGAGTGTTACCAAATTAGACTCCCAGAATGCACTGCTTCCTGTAAGACGCTATAGTCATCTGCATGTGATGGGGGTGTGGGACAGTGACATGCACAAACCAAACCATCAAGCTCTTGGGAGGAGTATTATTCACACCTTCCAGCAAGAGTCCAAATTACTGTGACTTCATTGGTATAGGAAGAATAACTGTACATGTACAAATGTATGCGTGACTGTGTATTTGCACGTATATGTGTGCAAGAGTGAGACTGATGATGAGATGGCCAGGGTCTTGTGGGGAATCACAGGCAGGACCAATCAGAAGCGGATGAAAGTTGCATCGATCTGCCGCACGCTGGGCAATGCCAGCATGATCTTGCGGCGGTACTGTGGATCCTTCTGAAGAGGGTTCCTCTCCAGATACACCGTCTCCAAGTGTTTGGCATTTTGCAGCTCGTCAAGGTCAGCCCAGTTCTCTATCTGGTTATCATTCATCTGGGACAGACCCGGAGAGCAACTATTATTCCAAAAGCACACGGAAATTACAATTCTTTACAATTTTCTGCAAGAATCCTAATATGCAATTATGTTTATTTAGTTCTCTCATTCCCTCCCACTCTCCTTGCTCTTCATGCATTCCTCACCCAGAACTCCTGGAGCTCTGTCAGATGACTGATGTTCTCAATCTTCTTGACGCGATTGGCAGCGATGTCCAGAGTTGTCAGCTTTTTCTATCAGAGACCGTGCGACCAGACCAAGAAGGCAGAACGTGAAGCGGGAATAGACAAGGACTGCACTGCCTTTTGCTAATACTACTCCACAATAAACTCCCCATCACCTTTAGAGATTCATTACCATCATATAAGGAAGCCAGCACCTTTAAAGCACGCCCTAACCCTACCCACCTTTAAACATCCAACACAGTATTAAGTAATAACAACAAAAGACGACAGGCATTGCAGTAGATGAGATATCTCATGCTCTAAACCAGGGGTTCTCAACGTCTTGACCATGGTCTAGATGCGGAGCGAGCTGCAAATTAATCTGGCCCCAACCAATAATACATCCTATGAATCAGTATAGTTAACATAAAAAGGCTTAATATGGTTTGAAGCAGAAAAATACAACATAGAACAACCAAATTTCCCACATACATAACTCATCATAATCCCCCATCGAAACGATCAGCAAACATTAAACCAGTCTTTATGTCAAGGTCCCGCTATTGTTATATAATGTTATATAATGTTATATAATGACAATGATAATGATAATATCTAATATAGAAAGTTATTGCTAATTCATGAAATTGTGTTTTTGTTATTGAAAATTGTTCCAGACACCTGACTTTGAACATAAATATGATGAGAACCACTGATCAAACAGTTTGAGAACCCCTGTTCTAAACCATTCACTGTACTGCCACACGTTACATCTGCAGGTCTGCAGTCCTGTACGTGTAAACTTTGCAGGAATATTATCTACGCTGTGGTGTGTATATGTCACGTAGACCTTTCATAAGCATGTCGGTAAGGAGGTGCGGACAGTTGAACATCGTGCAGACTCACATTGGATTCCAGGCCTTCAAGAACCTCAATGCCGTTATGACTCAGGTAGAGCTCTCTCAGGTTGACCAGGCTCCCCAAACCTTCTATTTTGGTTATGCGGTTACTCTGAAGGATGTAGCAGCACACAAGGTTACAGACACACAAACAAACACATGCACACACCCAAACACATGCATGCATGTCCGGGATGTACCTGAATACTGAGGACAGTCAGGTTATGTAATCCTTCAAGGTTCTGCAGCTGAGTGATCTTATTGGTGCCCAGAAACAGGCTGGTCAGTGAGGAGAGAGAGTCCAGGTTTTCAATCACCTGAAGAGGATACATCACATCACAGCACTCTATCAGCATCATTGGTGCATGTTGACAAGAACTCCTCTTAAGAGAGGATGGGTATTGGCATTAGCTACACATGAGGCAGCCCTCACCCGGATACGGTTTGAGCCCAGTTCTAGCATCTCCAGGTTGGTCAGATGGTCCAAATTTTCAATACGGCTTATTTTGTTGTGCAGCAAGAAGAGCTTCTTCAGGCCTGTGAGCCGATCTAGAGCCTCCACTTTACGAAGAATGTTGAAGGAAACATCCAGAACCCTGGAGGTCAATAAAGACACAGCTCTGTGAGCACTGTATGAAACCCCACCCATGTATACAGTGCACACTGCAAACTACTGGAAATCGAACAGTGTGCATGGATGTAGGAGGACAAGAAAACTCACTGCAGCTGGGTCAGGGTCTCTAAGTTCTCCAGACGCCGGATCTGGTTATCATAAAGGTCCAGCTCTCGGAGAGAGACCAGACTATCCAGATTTTCAATACGTTTAATGAGGTTCTGTCTCAGCGACAGCGTCTACCAGAAGAAAAAAAACAGATGACCCAGAAAAATCACACACATGCTTCAAGAAGGTCAACGTTAGGACGGACCTGAGGACGCAGACTCTCCCCAAACATACTCCCCTGACCTCAACCACAAACACACAGACCTTTGCCTTCTGTAAGACCTCCAGCCCTTCGATCTTCCCAATACGACAGTGAACCAGATCCACATCCTGGATGGAGACAGGAAGATGGGACAGCATAGTACTAAGACTTGGCTCTGATCGTACATTACATTATGCTTCAGGAAGATCCAAAAAATAAACACCCCCTCCTGGCGTGAAACTTCACCTCTTCCTCTGGGTCTAGTGTTATGGTGTCCATGTCGACTGGGGACTCCTCCTTCTCTGAAGATGGCACAGGTGGTCATTTCCATAAGAAGGGAGTGAGGAGAGAAGGACCAGGCTGGATTAAAACATCATGCATTGCTTTGATTCCCGCATGAGATCCCAATGCCAGGGAGATCATCATCTCACCTGACAAGGGCGGCTGCTTGGGATCCAGCTCCCCATTCAGGCTCCTTCGCTTAATCTCATCATCTCCAGACTCTTCCGACTCACCCTTCCTGTCCACTGAAAACAGAGCAGGTGGTATTATTGAGAAGCAGCATCACCTACACCTTCTAGTTTACGGGCGTTCTATACAGAGGCTAGGCAAAAGGTTTTGCATCGCTTTCCACAGTACTGCAGTGCTGATCTAAATGTCATTGTCTAAGGGATACGGACAAGATAAGTACAACTCAGCTGGCAAACAGCACGCCATCTACACCATCGGACTCGTAAAGTACGCAGGGAAGAGACACATCTCGTCATTTTTCTGCATTAATACAAAATATCACTAACATCCCATGGATCACGCGGTCTAATTCAGCCTAACTTAACGATTCCCATCAACAACCACATACATCCATCTTTCACCAACCGGGCGGGTTTGACTCGCACACAAATATAATCGAAGTAAGAAACTCAGCCAGCTTAATGGCAAACAGAAATATGACGCAGCAGAAACAGGCAAATATCCACCCGAAATGTGCAGGCATCTTCAGCCGGATTGATCGTGCAGTGGCAGGCGTGGTTCGTCGGCTTGTAAGATAGCATGACGTGCCTGTCCAATGCACTTCTTGATTTGAAACATGATTGAACAGCATGCCATAATGCTAACGTTAAAGATGCCCGAACGCGAGCTTGATGGAGCACAGCACCGAGCAGCGTAGCCAGCGCTTTCCATGTAAATGAAGCTTATGCACAGGGCTGCATGACTAAGCGTCGTATAGGCTAATTCAGAACACGGCCCACGCCCAGGGAAATAAACACAGCCGAAGAACCGAAGCCCACCGTCATAGCCAAACTGCTGCAGCGCCACAGCAAAGCAGTGCAATCTCACCTTCCATTGCTTGTGGCTCGCCTACGGACATAGAAGCCATCTTCCCTGGAGAACCCGCCTACATGTTACTGACAGTTCCGTCGACCAATAGAAAAGCGGGGCCGCGCTGCGTCACGCGGCTCTGTGACGGCGAACCGCAGACGAGTTCCCGAGTTCGTTTGAAGTAGGGCATCTTCAAAAATAAGAATTACGCCATTGAATATTTTGCGGAATATTGAAAAATATGTCCCTTTGTTATTGGCAATATTAATTATGTTAATACAAGAAATTCACTTCGTTTAGGGTAACTCAAAACTCAAATTATATGTATGATATGAACCATTTTTATTTGAATGAACCACCTTTATTTGATATGTTTTTATAGTTAACTTTTTCTGTCTCATTCTAGGTTATTAATAAACGTCAGTTATTTTACTGTTTTCAGTCTGAGAAATTGTAATCTAGATTTATGTGGGAATAATTAATAAAATATTATGTAATTATTACGGAAACTGTAATAAAAGTATTTAAACTCATTATTACCCAAATTGGATAAGCAGGTAATTTAAGTAGATGTATGAATTAAGTGTACATTTTAGGCTGGTGGAAAAGAACTCTAGAACTACAATGTCCAAGTTTACATTCTGATTATTGAAAAGTACTGTCCTTAACATTCTGACGTATAAAGATAGAGGTATATTTTTCTGTTTATCTTTTCCTCTGATACAGAACGCCAATCATTGAAAATATAGCAGCCATATAATGTATTGTGCAGATAAGAATAGCTTAATTAGTTCTGTGTGTTCTGAAACCTGGTGCGCATTTAGGTTTGAGTTTCCCAAAGCCTTCTTAATGCTACGTCTGTTAAAAGATCGAACTTACGAACGACGAATTGTACGTAATCTACTTAAAATCTTGACAGCTTGTCCATAAGCAATCACTTGAAGCACCTGTGCCAGGGCTAGTGGTTTTACCTTGTTTAACATGTTTACATTATACTCAAAAATAAATGGATGGTACTCCTGCCTTAATTACCAGCTAAAGTGCTTGGGGTACAGGCACTGGGCATCTATGTAACTCTGGCCAGTATAAGCAGCTGGAAGATGGATGGATTATTTGAGAAAAGGATTGTCAGCTTTGGCACACTTTTACCAAGCACTTAAAAAGTAAACGTTCATATTATCGCGACCACATGGTTGCAACTGATAAACCCCAATTCACCTAGTTGTAGGGTTTTGGTCAGCAAGACGACCTCAGTTTTACATACTGAACCACTGCACCATCCCAAAAATACAATACAAATTATAAATATACCCGAAAAAAGTTTATGCGTGCGCCCCATTACTTGTAGGAACAAAAAACACACGCTGAATTAGCAACTTCAGTGTTCCGAAGCCACCACTGACAGAATAGTACAGTAGTGTCATTTATATCATACTACTGCATGTTCCACCCGGACACATTTTAGCGCTGCACCGTAACATGATCAACGGAAACAAAACCCGAAATTCTGTGGGAATTCAAGTACTTTGGCAACTACCCCATTTTCCTTTTTGTTGATTTCAAAAAATTCATTTGAATACATTTTGAAACACTTGTATGGGTTAAGATGGGAGTACCGAAGTTTTACCGATGGATTTCGGAGCGGTATCCGTGTCTCAGTGAAGTTGTCAAGGAACATCAGGTATGTTATGGATTTAAGGCTAAGTGAAGTAGCAGGCCCGTCAGTGGTGTATAAATTATAACCCGAATATTTGAATACCCGGCATCTTTAAAAGGCAAAACACACCTAACCTAGGTGTTTAACCTCGGCTACATTGTCTGTCATGCAATAATATAAACTTTTTTTTTGTCTGTAGTGAGCCAGACGTTTGGTAAGGTTGACCCTCGAACTAGCAGTTGACTTTACAGGTCATTTGGCTACTGCTTCTCGGTAGATGATTAACGGTGTGTTCAAGCTGCTTCGTTATATAGCTAATTATTTGTATAATTTAGGGTCTACGCCGTTATAATCAGATGGCAGAAAGATTAGGATGTCGAATATGTACAGATGAATTTAACGCATCGGAAGAATTACAAATACTGCGCAAAATAAGTTTACAAAGTAGTTTACAAAACACGACGCAAATGACAACGACAAAGGCGATTGCAGTGACCGTGGAAAAAAATGGCTTTGACTTTTCGGGTGCTCTTTTGCCGAAAATGCCTCGTATTAACGGGCTGGGATACTGTGACCTCCTGCTCTGGTTTTGCTACACTGTAGTAATAGCTGCGAATTAAATGCCAAATGAGAGACCACAGTTATACTCCCTCTTGTTTACATATGAAATATTTAAGTATAAATACTTTAATATATATTTTATATTAAATAATTAATTCAGTGTATTTATATCATCTAAAGGGGGACATGATCCAGGTATATAAGATTCTAACAGGTCTGGATGTTGTCCAACCAAATAGTCATTTCAATATTAGTTCAAATGCAAGAACTCATGGCCATAGGTGGAAATTAGCGGGAGAATATTTTTTTAAATGGATTTGAGAGAGCACTTCTTTACACAGCCTGTAGTTCGAGTATGGAATAGTCTTCCTGTTAGTGTAGTGCAAGCTAAAACCTTGGGTTCCTTTAAATCCGAGCTAGGTAAGATTTTAACAACTCTGAGCTATTAGTTGAATTCTTCCCAAATTAACTTGATGTGCTGAATGGCTTCCTCTCGTTTGTAAATTTCTTATCTTCTTATGTTCTTATTAGGCGTTAATCATGCAGGATTATTTCGCGAAAGAGATCCTTGTACTTGGTGCTTTTGTGTTTCTTTAGGCTCCTGGTCTGATGATGTCAGATGTTTATTCTTTCCTTTTCTAGATTCCTGAATTTGACAACCTCTACTTGGACATGAATGGCATCATCCATCAGTGCTCCCACCCTAATGATGAAGATGTGCACTTTCGTATCTCGGAGGAAAAGATCTTCGCAGATATTTTCCACTACTTGGAGGTGCTCTTTCGCATCATCAAGCCACGCAAGGTGTTCTTTATGGCCGTGGATGGTGTGGCTCCACGGGCAAAGATGAACCAGCAGAGAGGAAGACGATTTAGGTACCTCTGGGGGTCTGATGGGAACGTGTGGAATCGGAGAGTTCTGCGATTCTGTCTGAAAAGTATCTATTCTTGTTGTACTTGTTAAGGTCAGCAAAAGAGGCTGAGGATAAGATTAAGAAGGCACTAGAGAAGGGTGAAGTGCTCCCAACGGAAGCAAGGTTTGACTCCAACTGCATCACCCCAGGTATTGTAGATATTTGAGTTGTTGTGGATGGTGCTCATTTTGGCTCTGACTTTGCTGCTAAGAACAAAAGCATCTTTTCCTGCAGGGACAGATTTCATGGCCAGACTCCAGAACCAGCTGAAATATTTTGTCCACAGCAAACTGTCATCGGACAAGTTATGGCAGGGAGTCAGCGTCTATCTCTCTGGCCACGAGGTGAGTGTGGGGCAGGGCACTGCTTTACTTGACGCTAGCTTAACTTGTGACCCTCATGTAAACACGCCTATATATCTGATCAGACGCCTGGAGAAGGAGAGCACAAGATCATGGAGTTTCTTCGTTCGGAGACTGCCAAGCCGAGCTATGATGCAAACACTAGACACTGTCTGTATGGCCTAGATGCTGACCTGGTAGGTCATCATAAGTGGTCACTATACTCCTTGCATACTTTGAGCATGGACTGTTTACTTATTAGTTGGGTTTCTTGTATAGAAATAAGTGCATTTCTGTAGATAAGTAGTGCAGCTCTCTGATTGGCCTCTGTAATGTGGGTGATGCAGCTCTCCGATTGGGTAAAAAAGTGTTTCCCTGCTGTAGATCATGCTTGGGCTGGTCAGCCACCAACCGCATTTTTCTCTGCTGAGAGAAGAGGTTCGCTTCGGGGGTAAAAAGTCTCAGAAAAGGTATGCAGACTTGTTGTGAAACTAAAAGCGCTGATCTGATGTTCCACGTGATTTTGCACAAGCTGGGTCACCTTGTTTCTGTCTCAGGATAACAGCTCCTGAGGAGACCACGTTCCACCTGCTGCACCTGTCCCTCATGAGGGAATACATTGACTATGAGTTCTCTGCACTGAAGGTGAACAGTTTAGCTCTTTGGCACTGTCGTTCACTTGGAAGCCTTATATTATACCCAGACCTCAGAATTAAAGTTGGCTGTGCCCTTCATCAACAGAATGTTGTCTCATTGAACTGGTTGTACACACAGTACTGTCCAACTTCTATCTGTGGACTTGTTGCTATGGTGTTTGTACATGCATAATACCATGTAATGCATTGTTATCTATTGATGTCGCTAATAATGAACATGACTAGAACTGGTATTGCGAAATGGCTTTCCGAATTGTTGTACTGGCATGCAGTTAACTTGGGTGTGACGTCATTCCCAGCTTCGACTTTGGACCTCCAAGGTAAACAGAACACAGTATTAGCCCTCAGATTGGGGCAGATACTAAGGATAGTACCAGGGTAAGCATCCCTTTTATTGCCATGGATTGATTGATCCACCGATGCATTGTTTGAGCAGAATCGGATCACATTTGATTACGACTTGGAGCGAATCATTGATGACTGGGTACTGATGGGCTTCCTGGTGGGAAACGACTTCATTCCTCATCTACCTCACCTGCACATCGACCAGGACGCTCTGCCCCTGCTGTACCGTACCTACATCAACGTGCTGCCCAAACTCGGAGGTGGGTTCGCTCATCCACAGGCTGCTGCTCGGCATGCTGCCGATCCATCTCCGCTGTGAATCTCCACAGGTGCTCAGGTTCACTCTGCATATGTGTCACCAGGTTATCTCAATGAGAACGGGAACCTGAACCTGGCTAACTTCGAGAAGTATCTGGAGACACTTTCCCAGGTGAGTCTCCGTCCACTGGAGTGTCCCGATCACTGCAGAAAGTAGGCCTGGACATTATTAAAAAAAATTGATACCAGAAACATGGATACCACGATTTTTATACTGGTTCCTGAACAATACTTTCTTTGATGGCAATATGTTTAAAATCAAATTCAACAAAAATACATTAAACGTTACAGCACCGATCTTTTATTTGAACAGGTTGTTTTGTTAGTTATTCAGGGGGATCGATTGCGACCATAACGGGACATAGCCTTTCGTTTATATTTTACTTATACGACCTGTGACATATTCTATCCATCCATTTTCTGGAACCACTTATCCTGTTCAGGGTCACGGGGGGGGTCTGGAGCCTATCCTGGAGGCTACGGGCACAAGTTGGGGAACAACCCAAGGAGAGAGAGAGAGAGACACACACACACACACACATGGGGAACAACCCAAGGAGAGAGAGAGAGAGAGAGAGAGACACACACACACACACACACACAAAAAATTTGGTATCTCCAATCAGCCTCAGCACCTGGAAGAAACCCCACAGTGACATGTGGAGAACATGCAAACTTCACACACACGGAATGCCAGCAGAGGTATGAGGCGACAGTGTCAACCACTGCACCACCATGCCACTCCACAACATGTTTATAATTTATAACAAATCTGTCCAGCAGACAGCTTTCATTTCCCCCACAATAAAAAAAACGACGTAACGTTATCCTGCTAATAAGCGCTGGCACATTCCAGCACTTCAGACACACATGCATACACATACACATACACATATACATATACATACACATACACATATACATACACTTGCTTTCTCCGGGTGTTTCATGTGATATACAGCGATGTGGTCAGTCACTATATGGGGGCATATTTGCAAGTTGCACTGGTGCGCTTAGTTATAAATTTTAGTCGCCCTGTCACCTAAAATGGTCGCAAGATGCGACTAAGTTGCTGTAGTCTGGAACCCTGTGGAGCCACAGTTTTGATTTCTTAGGCATTTTTTACACCGTGTGACAAAAAAACCACAACTCGCACACACGAACCAGTTCGCAAGTTTGTCTCTGGGCATACGTTTTTCCTTCCGGCCTCTATGACATGTAACATTACGTTAGACAACTAATCAGCAGCGACTTCAGATCTTTAAGTATGGTGAATGCTTATTAGCTTGCAGATGCTGAGATTTTACTGTTCCGGTGTTGGGATTTGGCAGCGAAAGCTCTCGTTCCTCCTGACTTTCAGTTCGACCGTGAGCACTTCAGCGAGGTCTTCGTGGATCTGAAATGGTTTGAGAGCAAGGTGGGGAACAAGTACCTGAACGAGGCGGCTGGCCTGGCAGCAGAAGAAGCTCGGGGGCGGGACAGCAAAAAGAAGAAAAAGGTGGGGAGGTGGAGCCCCCGTCTGGCCATGTAGTGCACTGCTCATCCACAGTAGGTGAGTCTCATCATTGTGTCCTATTCACTCAGGTGCCTGAAGGTGCTCTCTGTCTGGCTGCTCTGGATGGGGGACAGGATTCCGACGGCCCCCCCACCAAAGGTACCTTGTGTGAGTTTACGCATGCTGATTTTTCTGCCCTTTTCTGCCCTCCTGACTTCCTGGTTTCCGTCGTGCCCCAGAATGCTCGGAGGAGGACGGCGAGGACGACGATATGTTCGAGACGGAGTTTCGCCAGTACAAGCGATCATACTACATGACGAAGATGGGGGTGGAGCTGGTGTCTGAGTGAGTCACCTGCCGAACCACCGACTCTCCCTCGCGCGCCGCCTGCTGACAGTGTTTGAGTGCAGGTCTGTCGTCTTTCCAGTGAATTCCTGGCCAGCCAGGCATGGTGCTACGTGGAGGGAATTCAGTGGATTCTTCACTACTACTACCACGGAGTTCAGTCATGGGGCTGGTGAGTAAGTCTTCATCAACGCCCGACTCGGTCTGCTCCTGTCAGCCTCTTACCTGTCCTCCTACCCTAGGTATTACCCGTCCCACTATGCTCCCTTCCTGTCTGACATTCGTAACATCGCTGATGTGCAGCTGACCTTCCAGAAGGGGGCGCCATTCATGCCCTTCCAGCAGCTCTTGGGAGTGCTGCCTGAAGCCAGTAAGGACCTGCTACCCCAGTGCTACCAGGTACAGCCAGAAAACAGGCACACACTCTCTGTCACACACACACACACACAGGTTTGCTGAAGGAGAATTCATTCCTTCACTGCTGACACACTCCCCCAGCACCTGATGACATCAGAGAGCTCCCCCATCAAAGATTACTACCCTCTCGACTTCAAGATGGACCTGAATGGCAAGCAGCAGGACTGGGAGGCTGTGGTTCTCATTCCCTTCATCGACGAGGTGAGAGATCCCACCACATAGATTGAAAACAGGGTACCTGCATTTCTCCATGCCGAGATCTCCTGTCCATCCTTCTGTCCTTCAACAGAAGCGCTTGCTTGCTGCCATGGAGCCTTACACTAGTCTGCTGAGTGGCGAGGAGAAGGCGAGGAACAGGCACTCTGAGTGTGCCCTGTGCCGCTATCACGGAGACCAGGACTTCAACTACAGATCCCCGCTGCCAGGGACCTTCCCAGACATCGTTCACTGCCATGTCAGGTCTGTGGGCATGCTCTCTTGCAGACACATGCATGCATGTGCACACTGGTTCTCAGTGCCAGTAACATAACTGTTCATTTCCAGAGAGACCTTGATACCCTTGGACGCCTGGCAGGTGCCCACAGGGCATGTGGCTCGGCGCTTGGACCCCAGCACTCTGTACTTCTGCGGGTTTCCCACCCTCAAGCACATCCGGCACAAGGTAGATGCCCCATCCACGCCCTACTGGGACGCCGGGCTGCCTGTCCTCACACTGACCGACCCGTCTCTCCCCAGTTCTATAAGAAGAAGAACGGAGTGGTAGTGTTTCAGCAGAGCAGCCGAGGAGAGAACATGATGCTGGACATCTTGCCATCTAAGGAGGAGCCGGTGAGGCTGCCTGGGGGCGTGGCCAGGCAGTGCTTGGGTGTGGCCAGGGGGTGTGGCCAGGGGGTGTGGCCAGGGGTGGAGTGTTATGGGGGGTGTGGCAGGAAGTACTGAGACCTGCACTGTCCTCAGGTGGAAGCAGTGGCGGCCCTGGTTCTGGGAAAGGCGATATTTGTTAACTGGCCTCACCTAGCAGAAGCACGCGTCGTCGCCGTATCCGACGGGGAGACTAAGTAAGAGCATCATCATTGTCCTGCATCGCCCCGCCCCCATGGCGCCCCCCCCTGGGCTCACCGGCTGCTTCTGCTCTGCAGATTCTTCTTGGAGGAGCCTCTGGGATTGCAGAAGCTGTACCTGAGCCAAACGCCACCTCCAACCAAGGTGGTCCTGCTGAGCGAGAAGGAGCAGAAAGACTGGGTGAAAGACGTGCAGGGCCTCACGGAGCAGTACGTGCTCGTCACCTCGCTCCTTCTCCCCCCCCCCTAGGGTGAAAGGCGGCCCGGTAACCTTGTCTTCTGCTTCCCCAGCTACGGCAAGCGAAAGGGAATCGTCATCAATGACGTCATGCTGGTAGTGCACGTCCAGCTGCTGACCGGCCGCAGGTACCAGCCCTGTCCAGACGGTCGGGTCCAGCTGGAGAAGCAGTGGGCCAAGCAGGTCCTGCCTTTTCCCTACCAGACCATCGTCAAGGTAATGTTTGCGCCATTGTCAGGTGGAGGAACGGGGTCGGGTGGAGTGGTTGCTGTTATCGTCTCCAGAAATGCAGAGTGTCTCTTTGGTTTTGGCAGGACATAATGGCCTTTGAATCATCCTTCCCTCACTTGAAGACGCTGGGGGAGCATTTTCCAGTCAGCTGCACGGTCTTCATGGTGGGAAACCCATATTATGGCTGTATGGGAGAGGTTAGTTCTGCTGCAAGTACTACAATGATCCTTGGTCCCGGTTTCTGTTGTCCACCTGTTGGCAACCTTGCGTGATGGAATCCCACCCCAGGAAGGTCCTCAGTCGCCACGGTCATGGTGGCAACCTTAGCACCAGGGTTGTGTCCCTCATTCTGAAATGGCTTTTCAGGTGCAGGATTCCACTGATGTCATCAGCGAGGGACGAGTTCGAGTTGTCTTCACGGTGCCGTGTGAACCTCATCTGGACGCCTTAATACAGAACCAGCATGTGAGTTATGTCCCGCATTCCTGCACTGGCTTTCTGCCAACTCCCCCACCCCCCCCCCTAAAGCAGCATTGATGAGCTTAGAACTTTCCTCCCGCAGAGATACTCTGTGAAGTACAGTCCCGGCTACGTGTTGGCGTCCCGGCTGGGCATTACCAGCTACCTGGTGTCCCGATTCTCTGGAAGCATCTTCATCGGCCGCGGTTCCAAAAAGAAGTGAGTGTGTCTCTGTGGCTTCGCGTACCTTTCTCCTGGCCGGCGCTTGACTCGATCGTGCTCCACCCCGCAGTCCGCATGGGGAGCACAAGATCAACGTGGGCCTGAACCTCAAGTTCAACAAGAAGAATGAAGAGGTGGCCGGCTACACCAAGAGGACGGACAAGGAGTGGCTGTACTCCATAGCTGTACAGGAGCTACTTGCTGAGTACTTGGAGAGGTCTGTCCGCTCGCCTCTGTGTGAGTCTTTGGTGATGTCACGCTCGTCATCAAAACACTCTTGTCATTCAGGTTCTCGGAGGTGTTCAACTATGTGTCAAAGAACAGTCATGATGATGTCTTCTACGAAGATGACATTTGGCCTGGAGAAGATGGAAACGGGTACGGGGACATTTTTCCTCCTGTCTTGAGTGCTTGCTGTCACGTGTCAATGCCGTGATTCATGAGACTTATAAGCAACATCTTGATCCTCTTCCCTGTGGCCTCCTTAAGAGTTTGCCCACTCCAGCCTATAACTGCTGCCCAAGAAGTGTGTAGTCGGCCGTGCTTTTGAGCTGGGGGGGCTGAGGAATTTGCCTGAAAGCCATGATAATGATGAGGATTTTAATGTCACTGGGCAGGGCTGCAAAGGTCCAGGAGATCGTCTCTTGGCTTAAAACCCACCCAGTGAGCTCTACCACACGCACGTCGTGTGACCTGCAGATTCTAGACAGCGGCATCGTAGAGAAGATCGAGGATGAATTGATGAAGTCCAAGGTAGGGTGAGGTGACTCTGGTAACATGACAGGATGGCCTGCTTAATGGCGTAATCCCCACCAATCATCTGGATGTGGCATATGGATATAAGAATGCTATTGGCTGTGTTTTTTTATCAGTCATTTCTTACACCCACCCCCTGTTTCTGGCAGCTTAATAAAAGCAGCAAGAAAGTTCGTGTGACGGTGAAGCCTCACTTACTCTTCAGGGTAAGTAGGGCTAGCATGTGTTTCTCTATTAGGGTAACTGTGTGTGTGTTGGACGTCACTGTTCCCTGTGTCTGTGTTTGCGTATGTATATTCTAACTGTCACCCTAACCCCATTCCCCGTGTCTGTGTACACGTGTGTTCAGCCTCTGGAGGAGCAGCATGGTGTCCTGCCTGACCCCGAAGCCGAGTTTCGCCTCTTTGACCGCGTGGTGAACGTGCGAGAGAACTTCACCGTCCCGCTTGGACTCCGGGGGACAGTAATCGGTATTAAGGGGGGTGAGTAATCAGTGCGTCATCCCTGCGTCTCCCTCCCCCTGAAATGAGACTGATTGCTACTCCCCTGTGTGTCGGGCAGCTGACAGAGAGCTGGAGGTCTTGTATGAGGTCATGTTTGATGAGGAGTTCCCTGGAGGCCTCACCATAAGGTATGTGCCCGGCACCCGTCCTTTTGGCCCCGCCCCTATGTTTGAGGCTGAGCTGTGACTCCGCCCCTCAGGTGCTCTCAGGGCCACGGCTACCGCCTGCCCCCCAGTGCCTTAATCAGCCTGAGCCACGGCACGCGCATGGACACTGTATCCCACAAGCTGACTGCAGTCGTCAAGCCTCAGCCTACCACCAATAACCACGCCCACAGGGACCAGCTGGGTGGCCTTAACCACTCTCCTCGCTCACCATTTGTACCCATGCAGGTAACCGTGCTGTGCGTGTGTGTGTGTGCGTGCGTGTGTGTGTGTGCGTGCGTGTGTGTGTGTGCGTGCGTGTGTGTGTGTGTGTGTGTACGCACGCACGCACCTACCCCTGAACTCCCTTCCCTAACTGACTCATGCCTCTACTGGTTTAATGGCAGCAGAATGGGCGACACGGTGCCAGGCCGGAAACTCAGGGCAACCGGAACAAGCCTTATGGTCAGAAGAACATAGCAAAGGTAGGTGTGTGAGTGCATGTGTGTTTTCTCGCTGTAAGTATCTGTGTGTTTATTCTTGCTTTGGCTTCTCCCACAGGGATCTGGGGGGGATCAGGAGTTTAGTAACGTCTGGCAGTCTCTGCAGGGGTCTGGAATGCCCCAGATACCGCCTGCTCATTGGCAGGACAGTGTAAGTCCCACTCCTATCCGTGTCACTTCCTGTGTTTTGCCTGTAACATGATGTGGGCTGTGCGTGAATTCCAGGTGTATACATGTGCGTTTGTTATCCAGGCAGGGAAGAGCAACATGGGGCAATTGGAAGGGCAAAACCAGCAAGGCAGGAAGGGCAGAGAAGGAGCTAGGAGCCAAAGAATGGAACCCCAGGGCAACCAGGCTCCCTACAAGCCTGTATGTAACCGTGTGTGCGTCTGTGCCTGTGTCTGCGTCTGTACCTGTGTCTGCGTGCGTCTGTACCTGTGTCTGTGTGCGTCTGTACCTGTGTCTGCGTGCGTCTGTACCTGTGTCTGCGTGCGTCTGTACCTGTGCCTGTGCGTGCGTCTGTGCCTGTGCGTGCGTCTGTGCCTGTGCGTGCGTTTGTGCCTGTGTCTGCGTGCGTCTGTGCGTGTGTCTGCGTGCGTCTGTGTGTGTGTCTGCGTTTGTCTGTGCCTGTGTCTGCGTGCGTCTGTGCCTGTGCGTGCATCTGTGCCTGTGCGTGCGTCTGCGTGCGTTTGTGCCTGTGTCTGCGTGCGTCTATGCCTGTGTGTACGTCTGTACCTGTGCGTCTGTGCCTGTGTCTGCGTGTGTCTGTGCGTGTGTCTGCGTGCGTCTATGCCTGTGTGTACGTCTGTACCTGTGCGTCTGTGCCTGTGTCTGCGTGTGTCTGTGCGTGTGTCTGCGTGCGTCTATGCCTGTGTGTACGTCTGTACCTGTGCGTCTGTGCCTGTGTCTGCGTGTGTCTGTGCGTGTGTCTGC